CGGTATTTCCATTTTTACGGTGACTAAAGGTAGGTACTATTCATTATCATAGTTTGATTGTTTAAAGGCCTTATTTATTATTGCAGACGCATCTTACAAGAAACCTCACAACTATTCACCATCGCGAACAACCCTGCATTCGCTCCTATTTCTTTTTTCTTGTTCTTACTGTTGGATGATATGTCGTAGATGAAAGAGAGGAGAGGAGATCAGCTAAAATAGTTTTCCTCAAGCCGCCGACAGAAAGAAAAAGACAAAATGAGAGCAAAAGAAAGAGAGAGGAAAACGGGTGGTGGGAGAATGGGTGGAAGAGAAATTGGCCCTTGAACAAATGGAGCAAACCAGCTTATCTGCTAGGTGCGAGATACGTGTACGATTCCTTTTCTCCTTCTGTCCGCGCCACCAAACCCCTTCGGCTGCTGCTGCTACCGCCCATATCTACCTTTCGACTCACCTATTTTTTACACCGAGCCGCTTTTACATTCTCTCTCTCTCTCTCTCTCTCGCGACTAGGGATTCCTAGACTGACGCTGCGTCGGTTGTTAAACGTGATATTATGTGTATATGTGATTGATTGCGCTTCGGAAATCGGGTAGATCCAACCTCTTTCTGTAGTTCAATTTTACCATCAAATTTTATAATTTGCTTTAAATTGATTGGCTTAGCTGTGTGTATATTATTAGCAAATATTTGAAATGAAGACTTTGTAATAAATAATAGAATTTTTACGATAGCAGCGCAGTGAATCTCGATCAGCTACATAGCTGCATAGCTTACCTTTTTTATCTTGTTGCTCTCTATTGATCTCATAAATATGAAATATTTGCAACAAATACGTTTGAAAATTAAAGGTTCAGAAAACTAATCAATCCCCTTATAATAATCCCTCATAAAAAAGTGACGGAAGACATGTTGAAGCATTTTATTCATGATCTGATTAGCTCAGATATGGACACGTGATATGTGGCGTTAAATAAGCGTGTATGTATGGTTTCGAGTTGTGATTTTAGTAATGAAAATCTTATTTATCATAATTGATACTAGTCATTTTGAAGATAATGAAAGTAAAAAAGAAATAAGCGACAATGTTATTGTTACAATACTCATTTTATGAAACTACTAACAGCGAGTAAATCGTTTCGTAAAAACAAGAGGTTAGGCTTTGAAATTCTTCTAATTATATCCTATTACTAATCGATAATCTGATTTTTGAACGTGTAAGATTCAAATAAATGTAATGTCATAATATTTATTTAAAGAGTAGGATAAACGTTTAATAATAATTTGACCCGTGTAGTTGAAAAAAAATAAGCTAATGGTAAATCATGGATTTGGAAATGTGGAATCGTTTGAATAATAAACATTTTTTCGCTGCGATATGTGTTTTATAAAAGAATTAAAAAATCTACCTTTAAAAAAATATTTGTATTAAATATATGAATCAATGTAATAAGAAATGGAAAAGAAGATAAGAGCGCGCGGAGCATGTCTGACGTCACTAGTACGTTAAAAAATAGAATAAGAATAAAAAGTTACACATTTATAGTATAAGAGATATACATTCTTCTGTTGTTACTTCGATCAAAACGAGTGAACATCGTAAAAGTAGCTTTCATTAAAAAATTGATAATCTTAGCTGTCATTTGTTTCAATTTCATTAGGTGTACAATGAATCGTGAAAAATATATCAATATAAAATATAATTAAATGATCATTCAATCATACGGGACTCGTCAAAATTTCATGAAACATAGTTCGCGCAACATTGAAAGATAGCCAGAAAATTCGTCTTATCGAGTCCAGCGCAATTTATGAACGTCTTAATCCATTCTTCCATTAAAGACCTGCATAAAGCATGATAAAGCGAGCTCGCATTAGGAACGTCCATAAAACTTGGCTTCCCCCTCCTCCGTTTCTCACGTGTCCAGCGATATTATTTTCTGTCCCTAATGCGGAACTGGCAATTTATGCGGGTGGCTATATCACCAAGTTTTCTTTAACGCTATACTGGTTCAGCCGTATTGTTAACGTAACTTTTTGTCCCAACCACGTATAACTTTTACTACGGCGAATTGCCTTTTGCCACGGTTCTTATGAACTTGTCGTTCATGTTGAACTTTGGTCGATTGCAAATTTTTTCTATTTCTGTTTTATGAAAATAAATTTGCTGACTCACAAAAAGTCAACCGAATAAGCTAGTAGTTTCGAAAGCGACAGCTGTTATCGAAGAGCTAGTTTTTGAAAAAGCTTGTGCATCGGTTACAAAAAAAGAGAATACAAATAAATGAGCTAGCATAACAATCTTTCATAAATAAAGATCTTGCCTAAATTTTTTAAATAAATTGATTATATAAACTCGTTATAGCGTAGACGAGCAGATATAGGATAAAGCAGGGGTTAGTTAGAGGTAAGTGTATGCAAAAAAACGCAGACACATCAATGTAGCTTTGTAGGACAGATTCTACTATACGAGTAGATGCGCTAACTATTTGAAAATGTAATTATTTTCACGACATACGCATGCTTATCTTAGCGAAAGTTGCTCAAACTTCGTCCAGTTTATTTTTCGTACAGCCGAAAGTCCAACACTTGAAAGGAGTTATACTTGTACTTATCTAACCCTTTTGTTTACGCTTTTTCTCTTACCTTTACGAACTAAAGCAACTTTATGGGTCCACTTGCGCAAGCACACTCAGATTTACGCGTAATAATAATAATAAAAATTCAGCTTAGTATATTGTTAGACATTTTTTCGTGTTAATTGTTCAATTTCGACGAGCATAATTTATTTAAAATACGCCGTCAATGCGCATATACGTAATATTATTTCGTACAAGTGCATTTCATCGAAAGTCCATTACTCAAAGTATAAAAATTATAATTTTTCTGTTGTCTAAACATGCAGTGGCTTTTGTATTCGTAAAAACAGTTTTATCAATTATCATATTCCGATATAATAAGAAAATAGAAATTGAGATATCACCTTCATCAAGATACATTTGATCGTGGAAAAAGAAAGCATCTGCAAAGGTTGTTCACGTAAAAATACACTGAGCTTCTATTTACCATTCGCCTCGCAGTGATAGCGGTAGCGCGTGAGGATATTGCTTGGCGTTGTCTCGTGGTAAAATATATATGCGAATCTAAAATTGTTGGACGTGCGATCCATGCATGACCGCGGATATATAGTGTGTGTAAGAGAGAGAGAGAGAGAAAGAGAGAGAGAGAGAGAGAGAGAGAGAGAGACTCGTTATGACACTCGTGTGGGGAGGCCTATATTGCTCGTAGTGATTCGTCGTAAATCGAGCTCGTAAATAACGCCGTGTTGCGTTGGTGATTTTTGAACACCCTACAAAATTCGTTGGCCAGCCTGAAAAATGAGCGCACGTGCGCAATGCATTAATGTGCCAGCCGTCGATTGGCCGAGCTTTTGATTTGGCCGTATCAGAAAAAAAATCTGCTTGGAAAATCAATGTATCACGTTCGAATGCAATCTGTTTGAATTATTTCTTTGGATCTTTGAGTTTGTGTAGATTAAAATTGAATTATAAGTATAAATGATGATACAGTAAATTATAATTAAGACTATAAAAAATTTCTATAAAATTTTTAGGAATAATATTAATTATACCTCTAAATTTAAATATAAATTTTAAACAACTATCAAAATTTGTGTGTACTATCTGAAGATATTTGTATTGCAGCTGTTATAACGTGGAAAATCAATTTGATTTATCGTAATTTTTCATGTTTCAACATTAAATAACCAATTATTAATCTTGGATTACGATTGTTTCAATTTGACTTTTAAGTTTCAAAACTTTTTCATTTATACTCACTTCATCAAATACAAATATCGTCAGAAAAAATTACATAGCAAATAAAAATAAAAATAATATGAAAAATTATTACTAAATTCAATGTAAATTTACATACACACACATATACACATATTTTGACCTCTTTTAATGATGTAAGTTATTCACAATTTTATACACGCAAGCTTTATATAAGGCTTTCGAGTAGAAGCTTTATCATAGAATAAACTTTCGAATTGAAATTGAATTGCTTTAGATGAAATACCATAAAATCTCAGACGTGAGTGAACTTATTTATCAATTGTATAAAAAGCTATTAAAAAATTTTGAATATTTTATAAAAAGATAAACTGTAGTTACCTAATTTTTGAAAATTAAATTAAGTAACAAGGAGATAAACGCGTATTACGTATAAAGCACGTCATATATAGATCTATTGAATAAATTCTGAGATAGTTGGAACTAATATGAGACTGTGCTTGGATTTTGAATTTACGTGTTTTATAGTGGTACAATCAATGTGGTACTATATGTTCATGCCATGAAGCAGTGACAATTCTATTAAATTAAATCATTCTCGAAGGCCAAATTCATTTTGCAGCAACTATATTGTGCTGAGACGATGGAATTTTTTAGTTTTTTGAACTTCTTCTTAGAGAATATGCGTTATTTAAGATATCGAAACATTTTTTATCATGCAATATCAATACATCATTCAAATCGTCGTTTCATATTCTATCAAAAACTTTCATAAAGAATTTTCTAGCGCATAATTTAACTCTAATTACTTTTGTCGTTTGAGTATGCCTAATGTGGGATTATACGAAAAATTCATAATGAATTGTGAGTAAACGTTACAATAATATTTGTAAAATTATTTTATTTGATATAAATATATATAAAAGAGAAAATGATATAAAAGATAAATTAATTAACTTAAAATAGTTAAGTCGGTAGAGCAAGACTCAGGCAATCAGATTGAACCAAATAACAAGAAATGAAGTTTATTAGAATTTAAATCAGAACTTATAAAACTATTTATTTAGTTAAAATCAATAAATGAAACATGCTTACACTCTCCCGGTGAGACCTGAGATGTATAGATTAAAATCAAAACATTTCCATATTTAACATTCAAACTACGGTTCGTCAACTCGGATACATAATAAAAGATTAGCTCACACTAAGATGCTCATGGTTCTTCGCTCGCAATGCTCGGTTCTTCTATGCCACACATCTCGTCACATGAATATTGAATATTTATAGCTGCCAAGTAATCTCAAAACTGAGAAGAAAAGCGAAACTTGGCTTGCCTCGTCACAATTCCCAATATAGGAGGTAATCACTAAACTGCACTAGCATATCTTGCAACACAAGCAGTGAAATTATCTTGATCCCAGAACGGATTCTGTCGCAGAAGATAGCCGTTGGAATGTCGTCAAATAGTTGTAAGTCAGAAGGTCCCGCCTTCTGTGGTGTTTCTCGCTGAGTGGCAACCGAGCAAAGGAGAGCGAGCAGCGTTAGAGAGGGGCTTATATAATAGAGCGCGTACATGGAACGACTCCCCACTTACTTACTTACACAAAATTTGAGTAATTCAAATTGATGCGTTACATATGCTCCGTAGATTTAGAACGAATCGCAGGAACAAAATGCTCCGTATTTCAGTGGATGCAATAGAGCTAAATCTTATAATTACTTTAATACACCTCAAATTTCACACCACATAGTTAACCCTTATTTATACTATTCTAAGTCGACTTAAAAAATAACTCCGGAGTAATTAGCGCAAGTTAATTTTACATAATATAATAAATATTCTCGTAATTACATAGGTGTACACGTGATATCGCTTAAAGCAATACATATTTAATCATATCATTCTTCTTTTGTCCCTTTATAGGTTTTCGAATATAATTCTCCTTTTCACAAATTCATCATATCTCGATCATGATAATACATTTCAATCTATCTGTTTTTAAGACATTCATCATCATACATGCACTTAACATCATACACATTCATAGCATACTACATTTCAGTCATTCATTTCACAATATAAACTCACTCATACTCATACGCACAAAACAAATCAAACATTTCACTTAAAATATAATTCGTTAGTCCAGCAAGGTATAGCAAAGACTTTGCGAGGAAATCGGAAAGGCAACGCATAAAGAACTCTGATTCACAGCATTTTTGTACTTGCGAAGATTGAGGCGATTAAAGGTACCCTTCTCGATTGATGGATCATTTGGATCAACCAAAAGGAAAGCATTCTCGCCAATAACTCTCGAGATTCTATACGGCCCCTCATATAGGTGAAAAATTTTTGTGTGACTTTGTCAAGCGCATTTGATAAGTGCCTGACTCTCAACATCACCAAATCGTTTACGTTCAAGACTACTTTAGATATTTTATTTCTTTGATTTTTCTTTCTTCTTTGAAAGTTTCTCAGAATATTATCTCTTGCTAATGTAATCATTAACGCCTTATCAATTGGTTGAGGAGATGGAAACTTTACAATCTTAGATATCTCATCCTTAACATGCTGTCCGAAATGTAATTCTATGGGAGCAAAGTTTGTACTATAATGGGTGGTAATATTTAGTAAATTTTCTATTGTTTTAACCGAGTCTATCCATGTTGTATGCTTTTTCACACAAAAAGTTCTAAAAAGGCGACCAATTTCCCGCATGACGCGCTCTGTAGGGTTAGACTGAGGATGGCGAATACTACTAAATAGTACTTTCACGCCTATTTCCTCCAATGGGTTTATCCATCGGTTTGAGGTAAACTGCGTGCCATTATCACTTAAAATCTTTTTGGGCTTGCCACATTCCGGTATATATTCTTTAATGATTTTATTGACTGAAGCTAAAGTTGTTGCTCTTTTCATAGGGTAGAGCCTCACAAGCTTTGAGAAAGCATCAAGTACGACGAACAAGTACTCCATTCCCCCCCGGGCGCGAGGGAGGGGTCCATAAAAATCCACGGTAACCAAGTCTGAAGGAAATTCAGAAGTCACAAGGTTATATGGACCCTCCATCGCGACCGACAGGTACTTAACTCGCTGACAGAGATCGCATGACAAGACGAAACTTTTTATATCTCGATGCATAAACCTCCAGTAATAAAATCGCTTCATATACGTAAGCGTCTTAAATACTCCCGGGTGACTAAGCTTCCTATGTGTATGCTCAATTAAACCTTGTTTCAAAACCAGTGGTATGACTATGCGAAAATTGCTGATTTTATTTTCACTGTGAAAAAGTATGTTTTCATATACATGGAAATTCTCACTCAATTTCTGATTTGTTTGTTTGTTCAAGCTATCTATTATATCTCTACAAACCCTATCAGTACTTTGCTCATTTTGCAAGTTTTTTAAAACTGATTTTAATGAGATATCACGATTGTTAATTGACAATATTAACAATGGAGAGATCTCATTTTCTAAATATGGCAGTGTAAATTGATTAAGCAGATTAATAAACAACCTATCACTGATTTGTGTACGAAATTTTCCATTTGGATTTCTACTGATAAAATCTGCCGCGACATTATCAACACCTTTGCAATACTTAATGTCAAACATATATTGTTGCAACAAAAGAGTCCACCTGATTAAGCGAGAGTTATGATAAACAGTGGATAACATAAAAATTAAGCCTTTATGATCCGTAACTATATCAAATCTAGTCCCAATCAGGTAACATCTAAATTTTGTCACCGAATACACAATTGCGAGCAACTCGATCTCAGTCGTCGTATATCGCGATTCCTCAGATGTGAGACAACGACTGGCTATGGACACAATACAGTGACTTTCATTCTCATCTAACTGATACAAAATACCGCCTATTCCCATCAAACTTCCGTCGCATTGTACCTTCAACTTAGCATTAGGATTTATGTGATTCAAACACACTGCATTCAAAAAGTTCTTTTTTAACTTCTCAAAATTTTCCGTATGCTTATCAGTCCAAATCCATAATGAGTCTTTTTTTAATAAATCGCGAAAAGGTGTAATATATGAATTATGTGCTATTATAAATCTTCTATAGTAGTTACACATACCAAAGAAAGATTGTAATTGATTTTGGTTTTCGGGCGGCTCAAAGTCAACTATCTCCCTTACTCTTTCAAGACTCGGCTCTATGCCTTTTGTATACAAACGAAACCCCAAAAACAATATTTCAGTTTGAAACAATTCAGTTTTATCAATTCTAACCGTAAAATTACTTTGAAGCAATTTTTGGAAAATAATTTGAAGGATTTGTACGTGTCTATTGAAACTCCTTGTTGCGACAACAGTATCATCAATATAAGTCTGCGAGTTTGTATAAATATCAAAAGGATCATCACAACAATTTTCATTTGAATCAACTAAAAATTTAAAATCTTGTGAAAGAGGAGTTAACATGGCTATGTTAAAAGCTCTTATAAGAGCGCTTCCAGCGGTTTTAACACCAAATGGCACTCTTATCCATTGATACATTTTTCCCTCAAATCTAAAAGCTGTCAACGGTCTCGAGTCCTTATGTAACATTACCTGCCAATAACTATTAGTTAAATCTATTTTTGAGAAAAATTTACATTCAAAAAATTGTTGCAACATTTCAGCTATAATTGGAGGAGATTCATGATCATCCTCTATACAATCATTTAACTGTCGTGCGTCTAGGCATATTCTAAGAGTTTTATCCGATTTCATAACTATCCTAATTGGATTACAATATTGACTAATAGCAGGCTCTATAATACTTTGATCCAACATCTCCTTAATAACAAGTGCAAGAGGTTTTCTAAATTCCAAAGGCACTGAATAATGTCTATTAATTTTCGGATTTGGTTTAGCTAATTTTAATTTATGTTCATAACCTATTGCACAACCTGTTTTGTTTGAGAAAAGTTTCTCATATTTATTCAATAATTGTCGGAAAACACTCTTTTCATTTTCGTTCAAATTCTTATTCAATAAAACTATGTTTTTTAATTTTTCATTAAGAGTCATACTATCGTTTTTACATAATATTTTATCTTTATCATTTTGATGGCAATCACTATTTATACATAATAAACTTTCTTCTGCTTGATTCATAAACATATTAATATTATACGTATTTATTTTTTCACTCGTTATAATTTCATTTATTTCATTATTTTTATTTTTATTTCGCGCTTCATTCTTATCTTCAAGCTGATAATTTGATTCATTTACATTATTAATTTGAAATTTTTCTTTATCTATTCGAACAATATGAATACACGTCACTTCATCTTTATTTGATAGTATGATTCTTTCTAAATCACATTTTTCAAATTTTATGATTTCAGATGGTATAATTTCATGTTTAATTCTAAGCTGTGTCTTCCAATAATCAATCACCAAACCAGCCCTTAAATTAAAATCATTTCCCAGAATAATATCAGTAGACAAAAAAGGCACAACTAGAAAATAATGTGCAATTTGAAAATTATGGATTTTTATGTGCAACAAAATTTGTTTTTTTATATTAGTTGATTTTTTTCCTATTGCTGTTGAGACAACTACATTTGAAACTGGAAGTTCTAATAATTCAAAGTCAATTTTTAATTTATTATAATAGTTTTCTGAAATAGCAGTAATTTGGCTCCCACTATCCACTAAACTCCAAACAGAGCTATTCAAAATATTAATCATAATGCGTGGTGAAGCAGGTATTCTTTTGTTTATGTTCTCAATTTGACCCTTATCATTAACTACTCCATATGATAAATCGTTTTCTAATTCGTGATATAGACGCATTGGCGGGTCAGAGTTCAATACGTCTATACTGAGTTTAAATTATTGTTTGAAACCTGATTATTATTATTATTATTCCCATTTTGATAGTTTGGCGGGGAATGTGATAGATCAGGCAAATTCATTGTAGCTTGATTCGAATTCAAACTCTGGCCGTGCAACCGACCATTAGAGTTTTGTAAACAATTACATTTATGATGATCCTCATACGGACCCTGAAAATGATTACGATCTCTATTTACGCGACCACGACCTCTACCATAACGACCACGATTTCTACTTTGATTAGCGTACATACTTTGTACTTTAAAATTTTGCCAATCTTGTTGTTGATTATTTTGATTGTTTTTATAGTTATTAAATTGATTTTTCCTTTCCATGAAAAGAGTGTCAAGAGTCGACAACGTGGCAACAATTGAATTCGAATCATCACAAGCAACTGAAGCTAAAGATTGTCGAGCCTGATAGGGCATTTGTAATACTATATTATGATTCATCTCAAAATCTGACATAGGTGGCATTAAAAACTTTGCTTGTTTTCTTTGTGCAAAAAAGTAAGACTGCAAATTTCCATCTCTCTCTTTGCTAAATTTTCTCGATAACCATTTACTTTTAATTTTTACTTGAATAGGAATAGTATAAAATTTTTTAATAAAAGCAACCTTGAACGACGGGTAATCCGAAAAGTCAGGTTGTAGTTCATACCAATCGCGCGCTTTACCGTGAAGAATAACACCTACAATATTTATTTTTCTATTTTCAAAAATTTGTTTGAAACGAAAATATCGTTCGAGTCCGTCCAAAAACTCAAGGGGATTTTGAGTGTCCTCGTCAGAAAACTCAGGGATTTTAACATCAATATGATTTGTACCTGAATTTCCCAAAATCGCCAAAACGTCCGCAAGCACATCACCCCGTTCGTTGTTCGATCGTTGCGCATCTTGAGGTATAGACTGTGGCGGAGCGACAATGTTTTCAGATTGATTTTCATGCAGAACACGAGCAGCGTCCAGCTCTCGCTGTAGCTGATCTACCTGCTCGACCAGGCCGTTGGCTCTCTCGAACTCAACATTTACAAGCCGCTCTAAACGTGCCACTTCATCGCGATGCCTTTGCGCTTCCTCGCGCTGCCTCTGCTCCAAGCGT